AGAAGAAGAGAGCAATATGGTTTTCTAATCACTATTAAATGTGATCCAACCATCCAAGATGACAAACTAACAGAGAAACTTTTACCTTTTTAAGTGAAACAGCCTTAGCATTTCTATCCAGTCAAATATGAAAGTTGTTAATTACTTAGATGTAACACTGAACTTTACCAACAGTAGTTTACAACCATACCGCAAACCTGATAGTACGTTAAATTACATCCACGTTAGTTCTAACCATCCACCAAGTATTTTAAAACAGTTACCAACTTCAAATGAGCGTAGGTTATCAATCAATTCTTTCAGCGACGCAATTTTTAATAATACTTCCCCTACTTATAAAGATGCATAACAAAAGTCTGGATTCAGAAACAACATACAATACCATCCAAATGTAGGCCCAAATAACTCTAATAAGCGAAAAAGAAACACCATATGGTTTAATCCTCCGTTTAGCAAAAAACGTTGTCATCAAAATAGAACACCTTTTTTTTAAGTTAATTGACTTGTTTTTTCTTCTCCATCATAAGTTTCACAAAATATTTACCATAGATGGGGGTAACAAACGCCACTTTCGAAATTCAAACTTCTGCCCAAGTTAGACCCTTTAATTTATAGGTTAAATAAATATTGCAAAACTTGGGTCTGTGGTCATATATTAGAGAAATATATTCATAAATTGCAGAAATATACATTTTTTTAATAAATAAAATGAAAACATGGTGGCTTTAGTTACCCCTGGAAAAGGGGTAACAAAAGCCATCCATTAAAAAGCAATGTTTGGCTTTAGTTAGAGAGTGCTAGGGTAACTAAATCCATAAATCATGCATCTGTAACAATAAAGAACCACTATTGACAAGAAAAAAGCTTTGTTATTTAAGAAAAACATTAAAAAGAGACAAAAATATTATTTAAAATAGGTCTTGTTAAAATCACTGCTTTACCGGTAGTTCATAAGGAAAAGTACAACGTCCTCTGTTTACTTTGGATGGTTTCACAATTGAAATGACGTCTGTTAACTGAATGTCCATTTCGTCATCATCATTTGGAAGAATATAATCATTTCCTTTTGATTTAAGGCTTCTTCTGAAAAACTTTACTGTAACTTCGTTCTTCTCAAAACAAGTTCTAAAAATGACTCCATAAAACTGTTTCGTGGTTTCTTTTTTTGTATTCTTTTCAAAGATGAGCTCAACTCTCCTTTAGAGACTCCTATTTTGGGGGGTTCGTCATAAGTTGTTTTTTCTAGTTGTAAATCTACTGGTATCTCCGATTCCAGGTCACTAAATGTTTCTGGATCCATATCTGAATTAGAGTCTCTCAAAGAATACTGTTCATCACTATCATCAAATGAGTCGGAATTCCCAAGTTTCTTATTATGTTTCAAAGTCTTTAGTTTGTGTGATGATGTGGCTTTAGTTACCCCATGTTGTGTATAACTGGAAAAAAAAACATCACAACAAAAGAAAGAATCAAGTTATAGGTTCCCAGTAAGCACAAAGACGTTTAAAAGACGTTTGAAAGATGTCTTTAAGGAGGTCTAAAAGGCGCACTTGTAGACGTCTAGATCATAAGGCTAAAAGACGTCTAAATAAAGACGTCTTTATAAAAACGCGTTTTAGACGTATGTTAGACGTTTTTTTTAAGATAAATTTAAGTATATGGCGTAACATTTTCGCGCAGTATGTGGTATATATTCATTGTATTTATAACATCATATATTGTTATAATTTCTTATATACAAAATATACATAGAAACCAGCAATCAAAATAAAATTGCTGTAATCACCACCAACGGTTGATGCATTAAAGATGAAAATAATAAATAACAATAACAAATATATATGAAAACATTATTTAAAGCTTCTTAAGTTATTATAAAATTAACATGCGTATTGCTAGCTAATTTTTGACCCCATACTTGACTTATTATATGGCTTGTGGGTGTATAAAAACTAAAAGTACTGATATTTAACTTATATATTATTCTTGCCATTTTCACTTATTATCATGATCAGTCAACTATCTATTAAAAAAGCAAAATAATTATTAATAAAAAAAAAAGATATATTATTATTATTATAGCAATTATTTTAGTGATTCCTGTGACAACAATTTTAGCAATTGTGTAAAAAAGTGACAACAATTTTAGCAATTGTGACAACAATTTTAGCAATTGTGTAAAAAAGTGAGAACAATTTTAGCAATTGTGACAACAATTTTAGCAATTGTGTAAATTTAATTTAAAGTAATTTACACTTAAAACTTGAACAAATTATTGAAAATAATAAAAACTATGTTTTTACTTTGAATATACAACATCTACTTAACGCGTAATGACAAAGCCGTCAAAAAGAAGTCATAATGACATATTTATAAACAGGTCTCAGAAAAGACGTCTTTTAGCTTTGATCTAGACGTCTTTTAATGCGTATTTTAGACTATTTATTACGCGTCTTTTAAACGTATTTTTAAACTTTAAAAAGACGCATTTTAAACGTCATGTTAAAATCGCATTTATTAAAGACGTCTAGAAGATGTCTTAAAAAAAGATATCTTCTAGACGTTTTTTTAACGCTTAAATAGACGCGTTTTAAACGTCATTTTAAAAACGCCTTTATAAAAGACGTCTAGAAGATGTCTTAAAAATTGACGTCTTCTAGACTTCTTTTTATCTTTAAAAAAGACGCCTTTTAAAAGTCATTTTAAAAACGCATTAATAAAAGACGTCTAAAAGATGTCTTTAAAACGTCCATAAAAGTGCGTCTTTACCTAGACTAGTTTTAGACGTCTATAAGTGTCTAAAATGCGTCTTGTGCTTACTGGGTTATAATTATAACCTTTAAAGGTGTGATGAAACATAAATTGAGGTTATGTTTGTTGAGAGTTATGAGAATTTAAGATTAAAAATTATTTGTTCAGAGCAGTTATGCAAGATAACTTTTTTATCAATTTTTTAGGTTAAATATATAGTTGTACACTTACCGTGACATTGTTTTAATAATCCAGACAAGTATTTGGAAAGCAGTCTAAGTTCCTATTAGAAGAACACAATTTCAGCTGTTGAATCCAAACAGTGCTGCCACTATCACTATCCAAAAACTACCCCCATCTACGGTAACAGAAATACAATCAAAATTAGTTACAGCTGCATGCTGAGTGCTGGATCAATAAATAATTCACACAACCAAAAAATATTACGCAACAAAACCACTGCTTGTGTCAACTGCAACTGTATTAATAAACCTTGATGCTCTTTAAATAATCAATGCTTATCGAAAAATGTGTATAAAGCCACCATATATTTAGCTAACCGTAGTAATTCCAAAAAATCATACATTGGTATCAGTAAACGCTTATTCAAGCTTAGAATTGCAAACCATTTAAAATCATTTAACGCTACCAGATGCATTTAAAATCATTTAACGCTACTAATTTTGTAAATAACGCTTAACTTTACTTTTAGTTGGGCACTAAGAAAATTTGATTCCGGCTGAATGCAGTCAGAACTACTTTATGAAATCTCGGCAATCTTTTCTCATCCTTGTCTTAAAGTAAATAGTATAACACTTCGTGTTACTTTATTTGTTTATTTAACTGCTAAAAGAAATGGTAGACAAGCATGTTACTAATTCTGTGTTGGACGACACTTTCCGCAATTTTGACTCCATCCCAGGGATCCAATCGTATCAAGGGTTCCAAGAAACAAAAATAACATTACTGTGCGAAATGCTGTGTTAAATGACAACATACATTCACGTTTGAAATATGTTAAGCAGGAATTGTAATTCTTGAATGAAGGTATAAGAAAAAAAAATTGGAGTTATTTGAGCAATTTACAATTCAGTAAGAAAAGGATCCTTTTGGCAGATCACTTTTCCTGTGGTGCAAAAAAACCAAGTTAGAACTTAAAAGGCTTTCTCCCATAGTCAAAGGCAATACCACTATCGAGAGACCATTAAATGTACCATGTATCTACCATAGTTAAAAGAAATGAAGATACTGCTATCACTGGACAGTATATCAAGTATGTCATATCCGTTTAAAAAACATATAATTTGTCCCCCTGTTGTCGGCAAGATATAGCCACAGTAGAAAAACTTTAAAAAAAAACCGCTATAGTATATAGGGAACTTGGCCAATTGTATTTCCAAAAGAAAATTTAAAAAAATTGATATAGAAAAACTGAAACAATAAAGAGTAGCTGAAAGAGAAAGAAAGATAGAATAGAAAATGAAAGAGAATAAGAGGAAAAAAAACAAAAAAAAAACAAGCAAAAATTAAAAAATAATAATGTAAGTTATTAAAATAATCAAAACTATTTATTTGAAAAACAATCTTAAAGATATGGTCATGCAGATTTTTTTTTCTCAGACGGTCAATTACTCGCACCGTTACCTTAATATCGATAGCTACAAAGTTGAGCTATTCTAATAGCAACATATTGTAATATACAATTATACAATTTACAATTTATCAATTATACAATTTTGTTATCATAACTATTTTAGATCCAATAGTAGATCTTGAAGTTTTACGGCGTCTAAGACAAAATGAAACATGTGTCCAAAATTGGTTTTAAACCTAGTTGTTCGTGGCTAGCTCAATACTCAATCGGTATTTGGTAAAGTTTGTTCAATAAAAATTACACAATTATAAATTGATTTTATATTTATTAAAAAATTTATTCTAATATTTCTTATATCAATTTATTTTTTCTTTATTTTATTTTCTGGCACTTTATTATATGTTTAAGTGTTTAAAAGTATTAAATACTCAAAATATTTAATACTTGTAAACACTCAAATACATAACGATGTGCGAAGAAATAAAATAAAAAAATAATAATAATTGTATCTTTAACAAAATAAAACAAAAAAATTTTGTAATGGCATTAGTAAATATTTTATGACGAGTAGAGTTGATGCAGTAATAAAAGTCCAATTTAAGCTTAAATGTGATAAAAAATAAATGTAATTTAATAAAACCTAACTTAGTATTACCTTTAATAATTTTACAAATAAATCCATATGATTTAGAACAGTCATTATCATTCCAACCAATTCTACTTGTTTCCACACAGTTTTCTCCAGTTCCTTGATTGTTAGGTGTTTTTGGTAACCAATTCGAGAATTTTAAATACTTGCCATCCGACCACTTAAACTCTCTATTGTTGACTTCATCATTGAGTCCTTTCATAAATAAGTTTTATAATATAAACTAAGAACTTCTAAAAACCTGTTTTATTTTTAAACATATATCGAATGAAAAGCATAAAAGAACTATTAACAGTTAAAATTGAAAATAAAACACAAAGAAACAATTATTATCTTACCAATCCAATAATTATCTTTTTTCAGGCTGTCATCTTTAAAAATATTTTTAATAAAATAGTTTTCAGCTTGATCCTCAATACTTAACAAATTTGCACCCATAGCTTGACATGATAATGAAGCATCTCTCCAACTTTTTCCATTCAATGTTTTATTTTGAAAAAAATAGCAATACCTTCCATACGCAAACCAGCCATCATCACAACCATTGCAATCTACCACAATATATGAATAACATTCTATAGAGTCTGTTGCATTGTTAAAATTTAAGATTTTGTTTAATTTTTCATGTGCAACATTTATTTATTATAAGTCTTAAAATTTCTTGTTGCACTTTAATTTTATAACGTCAAAGAAATTATAATAAAGTAATTTTCTTCAAGAGGTTTTACAAAAACGTTTCGCTTCTTCACCTAATGACATAATAGTAATATATATATATATATATATATATATATATATATATATATATATATATATATATATATATATATATATATATATATATATATATATATATATATATATATTATATATATATATATATATATATATATATATATATATATATATATATATATATATATATATACATATATATATATATATATATATATATATATATATATATATATATATATATATATATATATATATATATATATATATATATATATATATATATATATATATATATATATATATATATATATATATATATATATATATATAGTGCTCTAAGTTATAAAAACAAGATGAAGAAAAATTAAGTGAAACATTTAAATCATTGCAAAAAAATTTAAAGGTTCCAAAGTTTAGTCTTGTGAAATACAATTAAACAATTTAGCTAGCTTTGAGTTGAAAACATTAGTTGAAAACGTTTTGTACTATTTGAAGCTATGAGAAAAATCTTAAAAACGGAATACCTTTAAAACAGTTTTGTTGGGGTTTATTTAGTTCAATATTTCTCTTGTTAAATAGTTTGAAAAAACAAGAGTTTTTTCCTTTGTTTTTTAGTTTATAATAAGTGTTTTTATATTATTTGATTTTCTTTTTTTAACTTTATTAGTGAAGAAATACGTACTTCCATAATCACGACATCTTGTTTATTATTGACAATAGTCTATAAAATAAAGACCAGAATAAGTCAAACATGTTAAATATGCAACAAGACATCTTATCATAGATATATGTTTCTTTTAAATAGGCCTCTTTAGAATGACCCATTACTAAACAATTATTTATCTGCAACAAGAAATACTATTGTTAGTAGTAGACTTGTATTGTTTAACTTTAAAAAGTTTTTATGCAGCAAGCTTATATTTACAAATTGAAATACACGTTGCTTATAAATTGTTTAAAAGTTCTGCAAACTATGATAGATACTATCAACTTTATAAAATAATCAAACAAATCAATCGTAATTAATTAGTCAAACAAATGAGCTAAATGCAAAAATGATGTATAAAAGATAAAATAAAAAAATTTATAAATTTATTTATAAAATAAGTTTCAAATAAGTATAATCAAAAATTACTTTTCTTAAATTAATCATAAACGAAATTTTTAGCTAAATAAAAGAAAAAGAAGTCATGATAGTCGTATAATAACGTAGGTAAAAAATGTACCTAAACACATTTTTCTATTATACATAAACATTTTTAAATTACTGAATTATTTGAATTTTGATATTAAAAATAAGTAAATATAAGTTGGATTTGAAGTCGACTCTCGCTAGCATAGCAGTAAAAATAACATACCTTTTAAAAATGATATCATAGAAACAAAATATATTCCAAAATAAATATCCAAACAGCATTTAAACTAAAAAAAAAAATCTATTATATTTAAAAGGTTTTAAAGATTTGCGCTCTAAAATTCCAAATTTTAAAAATTTTTAAATTTTAAACTTTTGAAATTATTTAAAAATTTTAACTTATAATAAAAATACTAAGAGAAACAATTTCTACGATGTAAATTTTCTACTATTTAAATAGAGGGATTGCCAGTTAAAAGAATAAAAGTTACATATTTTTTAGATGTTTGTATTGATTAAAATTTAAAACTTAAAAGTATAAAAGTAATATTAGGCCGGCATTAAACACTTGCTAATATTACGTTATTATGACGTCTGATAACGAATTAGCAATTGGACTTTAAAAATAGATCGGCCTTATATTATAATTATTCAGCTGTTAAATACATCCTTTTTGAACAAAAACAATAATATTTAAGCGAACACATTGGTTTTGATTTAAATAATTTGAAGTAAATGCTGATACTGTGATTTTACAATTGAATTAAAATATTCATTTATTAAAATTTAAATTGTTATTTACTAGAGGAAACAAACTGCAGCTGAACAGTGCATAATCTTAAAAGTAGGTAGTAAGTTATAACTTATTACTTAATTAGGTACTAATACTTCTGTAAATTACTTTTGGTAAATAATTATAACTTGCTCAAAATTGTACTTAGTAGCTGAGGTACTTGATGTTAAACATAAAATTGGATTCCTAACTGAGTAATTTGATTAAGTAAATCTATTTTTGTGAGTGGAAATTGCATTAAAGATACTTAAAGAAATTTATACATTTTATAATGTATTGAGGTATAAATTTTTTAAGTACCAATATTAATATACAACAATATATATATATATATATATATACAACATATATATATATATATATATATATATATATATATATATATATATATATATATATATATATATATATATATATATATATATATATATATATATATATATACATATAACTCGAGGTCCAACAAGCATAAATACTAGAGCCTTAGTAGCAATGTTATCTGAATCAAAAGCAGATATATTACTTCCACCCAGTAAGCACAAAGACGTTTAAAAGACGTTTTAAAGATGTCTTTAAGGAGGTCTAAAAGGCGCACTTGTAGACGTCTAGATCATAAGGCTAGAAGACGTCTAAATGAAGACGTCTTTATAAAAACGCGTTTTAGACGTATGTTAGACGTTTTTTTCAAGATAAATTTAAGTACATGACGTAACATTTTCGCGTAGTATGTGGTATATATTCATTGTATTTTTAACATCATATATTGTTATAATTTCGTATATACAAAATATAAATAGGAACCAGCAATCAAAATAATATTGCTGTAATCACCACCAACGGTTGATGCATCAAAGATGAAAATAATAAATAACATTAACAAATATATATGAAAACATTATTTAAAACATTTATAACTTCGCTTTAGTTATAATAAAATTCAACATACATATTGCTAGCTAATTTTTGACCGCATACTTGACTTATTATATGGCTTGTGGGTGTATAAAAACTAAAAGTACTGATATTTAACTTTTATATTATTCTTATTTTCACTTATTATCATGATCAGTCAACTATCTATTAAAAAAGCAAAATAATTATTAATAAAAAAAGATATATTATTATAGCAATTATTTTAGTGATTCCTGTGACAACAATTTTAGCAATTGTGTAAAAAAGTAATTTAATTTAAAGTAATTTACACTTAAAACTTGAACAAATTATTGAAAATAATAAAAACTATGTTTTTACTTTGAATATACGACATCTACTTAACGCGTAATGACAAAGCCGTCAAAAAGAAGTCATAATGACATATTTATAAACAGGTCTCAGAAAAGACGTCTTTTAGCTTTGATCTAGACGTCTTTTAATGCGTATTTTAGACTAATTATTAAGCGTCTTTTAAACGTATTTTTAAACTTTAAAAAGACGCACTTTAAACGTCATGTTAAAAACGCATTTATTAAAGACGTCTAGAAGATGTCTTATAAAAAGATATCTTCTAGACGTTTTTATAACGCTTAAATAGACGCCTTTTAAACGTCATTTTAAAAACGCATTCATAAAAGACGTCTAAAAGAAGTCTTTAAAACGTCTATTAAAGTGCGTCTTTACCTAGACTAGTTTTAGACGTCTATAAGTGTCTAAAATGCGTCTTGTGCTTACTGGGCATAATCTAAAAAGCCTTCATCGTTACAATTACTTGGATTATAGACAAAATCTGATTTTATATGCAAAGCATCAAAGATCAATGCGCTTTATATTTAACATCTTCTGATCCCTTTTGTTTTCAGAAAGAAAAAAAACATCCTTAAAAAAAGCAGTTAAACAATCAATACACGATGTCCATGTTGCTTGAAAACTAATACAAAGCAAAGCAAAAAATGATCTAACAAAAGTATATGCACGAGGTGAATAAAAAATGAAGCTTTAAAGCAATATCTTTACTTCTTCTGAAGATCTGTCACCTTTAGAATCATTGTATTTATTCACTAGTGTAAGTTTAAATTAGTCTCAAACAAGTCCAGAAAAGTTTTTATTGACAAGTTTGGCTGCATCAGCTGATAAAAGCTTATCAATCTCAGTTTTTAAATAACTTCTGTCATTAATTTTATTTTCAATTCATTCCTTCTTAGCTTCTGCTTAAGAGTTTTAAATTTTTGTTTAGGTTTGACTTTGGATGGAGAGTTAACTTTATTATTTAGATTATTAATAGAGTCTACACTGATAAAATTATGATTGTCAGCGGATTATGGTTAAGAAAGAGAATTATTTTTTTTTTAAAAAGTCTGGAATGCCTCAGTTACATTATTAGAAAAATGATTTTATTTATTGGTTTTTATACAATCCATTTACTCTGGAAAATTATAGATAGGTGTTACAATATCAGACTTTAAACGAGGTTTAATCGGATTTTCATAACTATAATCTTCTTTATAAAGCGGAATACTGCATATAGAACGATATTTTGTTAGAATAAACGAAGCTTGTTTTGTTCCCACAACCCATTTTTGGCAAACATTGCTATTTTTAAGTGTGCACTAATAAAAAAATATTCCAATATTTATAATAAAATGGTTTGTACAAGCAGATTAGATTGGAAATCAGACCTAAAAATTGAAATAACCATTTCTTGAATAACAAAGGTGAAATAAAAAAACCTTTGCGTTTTTGCCAGTATTCAATATGACCAAATTTGCCTCACAACCGCGGTTCGAGTTAGATATATACGTAATATATACGATTGTAAAAACAAGCATAGTGCCCAATTTTGAACAGACTTCAGTTTTTATTATGATTACGTATAATATTCTGTAATAATTTTTTCAAAATGGGTTTATTGTAAACAACCATTATAAGTATTTTGTTAATATATTTATTAAAGTATAAAGAAAACATAATAATTTATGTATTTAGTATACTTATAACATATTACAAAGCGGTTAAATGCTTTGTATAGTTTTTTTATATCCGATATAAAATAGTTTACAAGAAAACTTATACTAAAAGAAAGATTTCACAGAATACACAATACTGATATAAGCATAATAAAATAAAAGTCAAATTGTAATATTAAAACAACTGAACCATTTAAAAAAAAAAATAATTTCAAAAATTGAGTTAATCAATCCAATAAAAGTACAATCAGTGGAAAACAAGAAAGAATAACAAGTGGATAGCAAGAAAGGATAGCCTTAAAACTTTTTTGCTGCATGCTTTCTTCACGAACAGACGTGTTTTTGCAGCGTAAGAATTAAAAGAGAAAAAAAAAATCAGTATTTTCAAATTTTTGAAAGAGAATATATCATATATATTAAATAAAACAATATTTATCAAAATAAATTAAAATGAGCAAAGCTGAAGTTGTTTCAATGGTAATGATGAGAAAGCTTCTAAACCTACAAAAAGAGACAATCTTGTCATTCTTTACAGAAACAGTTAACACGATAAATTTAAAATTTGAATCAGTTCAAAAAAAACATTCAAGACGTAAAAAAGGATTTTGATGATATCAAAGCTGGCCTAATATTTGTTGGTGATGCCTGCGACGATAAGGTTAAAAGTGTAAATGAAAAAATTGATAAAGTTAAAGAAGAGTTATTCAGCCTAAAAATAATACAGGGGAAAATTTCGACTGACAACAACGACCTAAAATTAAAATCTGTTGACATAGAAGATCGAAATAGAAGATACAACTTTCGTATTGATGGTTTATTTGAGGGTAGCGATGAAAAAGATTGGGAAAAAACTAAAGAAAAAGTAAATAAACTCTTTGCTGAAAATCTGAACATCAAAAGGGAAGTCAAAATTAAACGAGCACACAGAGTTGGAGTTTTGAACAATAATCGTGAACGAACAATTGTTTTGAAACTGCACAACTACGAGGACAAAAAAGTAATCACTGATAACGCATCGAAGCTTAAAGGTAACAATGAAGATTTATTATTATTTATTAATGAAGATTTTTGTAGCATTACTTGAAAAATTCGAAAAGAGTTATTGACTAAGGCAAAAATTCATAGACAAAACGGTTTTTATGCTAAAGTTGTTTGTAATAAACTAATTGTCCATGAAATCCGACAAAATAAATGTGCAAGCGCAGAAAATGTAATACCTCGGGATAAATAATTTATAAATATATTTATAGGTAAATTCTTATATACTTACTTAAAAATGGATTCGAATAATATTTTTCAACAAGGTTTTGAAAGTTTAATTTTTAACCCTTTTGAAGACAATTTAAAAAATATCACAAATATTTTTCAAGAAACTCAAGGAATTTAATGAAAACACCGTATTTTGATCCTTATGAGTTTAAGGGGAAAAAAGAAACAAATTCATTTTCTATATTACAAATAAATATTAGGAGCATAAACCAAAACTTTGACAAGTTTAAAGAATTCTTAAATATTATAAATTACACGTTTGACGTCATATCTCTTTCAGAGACCTGGCATGAAAATAAACTTGATTCTAATTTTATTTACGAAT